AACAAAAGACAGGCATATGAGCTGAACATTTACATTAGGTAAATAAACTCTTTGGAGAGATCAATCATTGGAGAATAGAAGGACTGTATGCACAGGGAGGCAGTTAGGGGGGCAGGAGTGCATGAGAGGGAAGGACACAGGGAGGTGGTGGCTATGGGAAGAGTTGTTGCATTGTGGGAGATTGTAGTCAATGTCATGAGACAGTGTATGTGAACTGCTGTGTGGAAGATGAATTTGCTCTGTAACCTTTCGCCCAAATGACAATAAAATTAAAAAAAGAGAGAAAGAAATGTTGTGCATAAAAGTATTTCCATTGATGAGTAGGTCTGGGAAATGCTATATTCAATATCCCCCTTTTGGAGAAATGTAATAGCTAGCATATTAAAGTCTAAAGTAAAGAATCATTTAAAAAAAAAAAAAAAGCCATAATTCTGTCTGTTTCCCATATTTATTTGATCATAGAGCTTTTTTCCTTAAGTAATATATATTAAGATCCTGTGCTTAAAAGCTAGCAAGCTGCCATCTAGATGCAACAATGGGTCTCTCCTCATCAAGAAGAAGAAAATCAAAATTAATGGAAACAATCAGTCCTAGTGACTGGTATACCATCCGATCTGCAACCTATACAACTATGAGACCAGAAGAACTAAATGGTGCCCGGCTACCACTGTCATCCACTTGGAAGGGATGTAGGAGATCCTGCATAGCGAGGGAGAACAATGCGGAACAAAACTCAAAATCATTTGGAGGAAAAAAAAAAAGAAGGTGGGGACCAGGTTTGCTGGTCCAATAGAGCCTGGTGGAACCACTGAGACTATGGCCCCTAGCTGCCCTTCGGGTCTGGAATTGAACCCACACCTGTGGTTTCCAGCCAAACAAAGTACAGGCATGTGAGTTAAACATTTACCTCAAGTAGACACACGCCCTGGAGAGAACAATCATGGGAGAAGGAAGGGCTGCTTATGCACAGGGAGACAGCTCAGGGCGCAGAAGAGTATGGAGGGATGGACACTGGGAAGAGGTAACTATGGGGAGGAAGTAGGAGGGGAGCTGTTGCATTGTAAATTTTGGTCAATGACATGAGACAAAGTGTATGTGAACTGCTGTATGAAAAGTGAATTTACTCTCTAAATCTTCACCCAAATCAAAATAAAATTAAAAAAATAAGATCCTGTGGAATCAGTATTCCATGGAACACACATGGAAATACTAGAATAAACAAAAGTACAAAAAAAAAAAAAACAACGAATTTATATTCATTTATTATATATCCTTTAAAAAATGTTTAAATCCAGGATTGAAGCTTTGACCTTCATCTTAAGATTTGCCTACTCATGATTTAGACATAACAGTTTTGTCAGCAATCTGAACCATTTTGTTTTGTTCTGGGTTTTCTCTTCAGAGGTTTAATTTGACAATTTTTTTTTGTTCTTAGAATGAGAGGAAGAAACTTCAGGAGAGAATACACGCGATAGACAGCATACTTAAGAAGATTGATAACTGTCTTACTAAGGTGGAAATAGGTAAAGTATTTTGAATACTTTTCTGAAAGAAAATTTAATTTTATGTAAATTTTTCCCTACAGTAGAGATTGATGGTATCTTTATGCTGAAGTCTTGTGTTAGCGGCTTGAGATATTCAATTAAAGCAAATTAAAGCTCATTAGCTGTGGTGATCCTTAACACAATCAACAAGAATTGCCCAAGATAGTAAGTAAGTCCCTTTGGAAAGTTATTCTAAACCTAAACCATTATCTTGTGTTTTTAATAGATAAATTTATGCTATCTGAAAATGGGCTATCATTCTGATTTGACCTCTTATAATCCTGAATTTTTAGAATTGCTCTCCTGAAATTGGTTTTTCAAAGGTCACAAAATTCTACATAATCATCAAATTTAATCCTTAGCCATCTTGACCTCTTTCTAGAAATTTGACTTGGATAGTTATTCTTTTCTTCCTGAAACTCATCTCCCTTCACTTTTATGATACTGTACCTCCCTGACCCTATTCTTTTCTCCTTTCTTTTATCTCTGTTAGCCTCTCTTTCAGCTCTTTTCTTTTTCTTCATTTTCTCCCCTAATGCTTTTTATCTATCTTAACAATTATGTTTTTGTGAATGTTCCCCAAATTCAGTCACGATTATTAAGCTTCGGTTGAACACTTACTGCATGCTCTACAGTGTTTGTGCTTAGCATTGGAAAAAATATAGACATATATAAAGCACAAATATTGCATTTAGGCAGCTTAGAGTTATTTTGGATGAGGGTATCTTTAGTCTCATTCTCTTGAGTTCGAGACTTAATATTTCTAGCTACCTGCTGAACCTCTCTGCATAAATGTCTGTAAGCACCTTAAGCTAGTGTGAATAAAACTGAAATATCTCTGTCTCCAAAATAAAATCCAAAACTTATTCTCCCTGTTATGCTTCTCATTTCTATTAATGGAATCACCATTGCTGTATTATAAAAGGCTCAAAACTCTCATTGCTTTTGACTGTCTCTTACCAAGTTCTGTCATATCTCTTCTTCAGCATCTCATATTCTTTCTCATTCCCATTCCTATTAAGGCTTTCATTAATTCTGAAATGTGCTGTTTCAAGTATTCTAACTAATCTTTCTATATCCTTACCTTCATTCTGCCTCCTTCCAGTCTAACCTGCACATTGTTGCCAGATCATAAAGGTCAGTTTTCCTTGTTACTCCATTAATTACAAAGTAAAGTCCAAACTCCTGAGCATAGCATTTCTTTACAATCATATTCAGATCTTCCTTTCTTATGTGACTACCCACTACTCCCTTACCCACCCTATATTCCTACCAAATCTAGTCATTCCTATGCATTCCTCCCACTTTGTCTTTGCTGATGTAATCTTCTGTGTTCCACCAATAGGAAGTAGTCTCCCTTTTGAGCTCCTGTAACTATTTTATTAGTACTCTGTATAGTATTTAAAGAGCCCTGATGGTGCAATGGTTAATCAAAAAGTTAACACCAACCACTCCATGGAAGAAAGATGTGAGAGTCTGGTACTATAAAGATTTACAGCCTTGGAGACCCTATAGGGCAGTTCTACCTGTCCTACAGGGTCACTATGAAGCAGACTCACTATGAGGGCAACATACTATGAGGGTTTGGTTTAGATTTGATTATAGTAACTATCACATCTACTGTATTATAATTATTTTTTTTATAGTTTTATCTTCCTAACTAAATTGTAAGCTCTCTAGGGGCAAAGATGAGGTCTAATTTTTCTCCCTATCCTTCAAAGCTCTTAGCCAGTGCTTTGCACTGATAAGTATACATTTTCTTCATTGAATTGATTGATTATATAAATTCCATCATCTTAGACTGCCCCATGCCTTTGTTCTTCACTTTCTATTTCAGGGAGAAAAATAGAAGCCATCAGATTGGAACTTCTTATTTTTTTCCTGGCTCTTCATTATTTGTTGAGCAAGTTTACTGAGTACCTACTGTGTGCCATGTACAGTGCTTGGTGCTAAGAATACACAAAAACAAAATTTCCTAATGGAGCATCCAGTCTAGAAGAGAATATAGGCATTAAACAAAAACTTTTATGTTAAGTGCTATGGAACAGAAGTTACATTGTAATTCAAGTCTGTAAAAAAATTTGCCTAGGCAGGAGGTGAGGGAGGTTTCACTCTGAGGAATGCCTTTTAAACTAAAATCTAAAGGATGAGTAAGAGTTACCAAAGTGAAAAGGAAAGGTAGAGCAGACTATTAGATACAAATAACACAGGCAGAAGCCCTTCTACAAAAGGGAATATACCAAGTACAAGGGTCTGAAATAAGGCCATTGTGGCTGAAAGAGAGTGAGCAAAAGGAATCTCTGAGATGAAACTGGAGATGTGACTAGGGGACAGGCCAGGGAAGGCCTCTTTAGGAGTTTTTATTTTTTCTAATAGTGAACCCAAGGGGTTCTGGTGGTGCAGTGGTTAAGGCATTTGGCTACTAACCAGAAGGTCGGTGGTTTGAACCTCCTGCTCTGCTGGAGATGTGGCAGTCTGCTTCCGTAAAGAATTACAGCCTTGGAAACCCTATAGGGCAGTTCTACTCTGTTCTATAGGGTCACTATGAGTTGAAATCAACTGATGGCAGTGGGTTTGATTTTTTTTTTTTTTTTAACTGAATACTCATTTGAAGGGTGTTAAAGCACTGAATGCATTGTAGAGATTGGATTTGAGTAGATCTAGAGTAAATATGAGGAGTTAGGTAGTTATTGGACTAGTTTTGTTAAGAAAGGAGGTTATATTAAAGGGTACTGATAGTTAAGGAAAAAATGTTTATTCAAAAGATAGTTTTGAGTTAAAATCTAAACTTGCTGATGGTTTGGATGTTTAGAGAGAGGATATTTTTAAGGATGATTCCTATGTTTGAAAAAATTTAAATATGTGGGTACATGTATTTGTGTATCTGCTTCTACTTAGCCCATGGAGGTTGCCTAATTACATGCAAATTATGTTAGTGGAGATATCATATGATGGTTCAAAGTCCATTTTCTAGCACACAAAAAGACAAGTCTGTGTATATTATAATTACAGATAAGTACTTTATTGGCAAGGAAAGTTGGGTATTTGTGAAATACTTGCAACAGTTAGTCTTGGGATTATCTATTCTTTTTATGTCTTGTTTAATAAATTATTTTTGGCTGAGTTATTCTAGTGTGTGTTGTCTACTTTAGAAACTAAATATTTAGAAGATGAAAAGAAAGAAAATCCTATGAGAGAATGGGATTCTGAAATGAAAGCTGCAGAGAAAGGTAACAATTAGTTAATAATGTAAAATAAATGAAAAAAAAATCTGTTCTGTATGTGTGTATTTTATGTGATATTAAATCAGAATTTTCAATGAAACTGATGATTTTTGTGACAACATTCTAATATGTTCGTTCATACTGATGGATTTGTAATTTTCTTTTCAAAGACCTAGAACAGTTGAAAACTGAAGAAGAAGAGCTTCAAAGGTCAGTTTTCTGAGTGTTAGAAAATATAATGCTAAACTCCACTAGACTGATCAGATTGAGGCTGTGAGTCTTGACTAAAACAGTCTTGGGGCTTCTGCTGTACTTTGAACTGGACCTTGGGGCTCATCTTAGTCAACAATATTTTCTAAGCATTTATTGTTTATAGGAAGTCAATTCAAGAAAATACCAGTATTTCTCAAGCTTGAATATCAGGATCCTTTTAAATAAATCTAGCATTAAATGGTTTTAAATACAAATAACGACAAAACCTATACAGTTCCAATTGATAACATTAGTTTGACAGTTGATAATGTTTGACTGGAATTAAATTGATGCTAGCAAAAAGACTGCCAAAACATAACTTCTATTTTGCTCTAGCAAACTAAACAATAACACCAAATACAGACACAGAAGCATGTCTCAGTTTTAAGGAGAGCATCCATATGATTTACAAAGCACCTGCTGCCGCTGATGATTCTGATGCACAGTGAAAACTATAGGACAGAGTGGAACTGCCCCATAGGGTTTCCAAGGCTATAAATCTCTACAGAAGCAGACTGCTACACCTTTCTCCCAAGGAATGGCTGGTGGGTTCAAACCACCTACTTTTTGGTTAGCCGTTGAGCGCTTTAAATGCTGTGCCACCAGGGCTCCTATATATGTTTTACAATATGGTTATATTAATATTTTTATTACCAAAAAGAAAATGTAAATTTTAAAAACGATCTTAAGAACTCCCAAAGATAACCTTAATGGATTCCATTTTGAGAGATACTGATCTAGGTTTCCTAAGTAGACCCATACTTCTAGATTATTACAAAAACACACAACAACAAGAACAAAAAAAATCTGAAAATACCAAAATGGATGCCATTCACTTGCATTATTCCTTCACTACTAAGCTATCTAGCATGTGACTTCTTCTCCTTTTTTTTTTTTTAAATTGTGATTTGGGTGAAAATTTACAGAGCAAATTCACTTTCCATGCAGCAGTTCACATACACTTTGTCTCATGACGTTGACCACAATTTACCACAGTGCAACAGCTCCCCTCCCACTTCCTCCCAATAGTTACCTCTTCCCTGTGTCCATCCCTCCATGCACTCCTGCCCCCTGAGCTGTCTCCCTGTACATAAGCAGCCCTTCTTTCTCCCATGATTGTTCTCTCCAAGGAGTGTATTTTCCTCAGGTACAGGATCAACTCATATATGGCTGTCTTTTGTTTGGCTGAAAACCACAGGTGTGGGTTTAATTCCAGATCTGAAGGGCAGCTAGGGGCCATAGTCTCAGTGGTTCCACCAGGCTCTATCGGACCAGCAAACCTGGTCCCCACCCCCTTTTTTTTTCTTCCAAATGATTTTGAGTTTTGTTGCACATTGTTCTCCCTCTCTGTCCAGGATCTCCTACATAGATTCCCTTCCAAGTGTTGACAGTGGTAGCTGGGCACCATGTAGTTCTTCTGATCTCATAGTCATATAGGCTGCAGATCGGATGATGTACCATTCGCTAGGATTGACTGTTTCCATGAATTTTTGGTTTTCTTCATTCTTCTTTGCTTTGGATGAGAGACCCATCGCTGCATCTAGATGGCAGCTTGCAAGCTTTTAAGATCCCAGTCAGTACTTGCCAAAGTAGGAGGTGGAAAAATGTTTTGTGTAGTATGTTATAGCATGTGACTTCTTAAAATAGATCTTTTATGTTAAGAGAGTCTGAATTCTATAATAAAAGATTTACCTTTCTTTGAATATCTGATTTCATTTACAGAAATCTCTTAGAACTAGCAGTACAGAAAAAGCAGACCCTTGCTCAAATAGACATTGTACAAAAACAGACAAACAGAACTGAAGAGCTGTTGGATCAGTTGAGGTAAGGAATAGCAGTATCATTAATATTAATATTACACACAAGTAAAATTTTGCTGAAAGTAATTAAAAAAATAGTTGTAGCAGTATATTGACAAGGAACTGCCAGAAAGTCAAGCCAGATTCAGAAGGGGATATGAAACAAAGGCTATGATATCGTTGCTGATGTCAGATGGATCTTAGCTAAAGCAGAGAGTACCAGAAAGATCTTTACCTGTGTTTTATTGACTATGCAGAGGCATTTGACTATGTGGATCATAACAAATTTTGGATAACATTGCAAAGAATAGGAATTCCAGAACACTTAATTGTGCTCATGGAGAACCTGTACATAAACCAAGGGGCAATGCTTTGAACAGAACAAGGGGATACTCTGTGGTTTAAAATCAGTAAAGGTATATATATATCCTTTCACCATGCTTATTCAATGTGTACGCTGAGCAAATAATCCAAGAAGCTGTACAATATGAAGGTTGTGGCATCAGAATGGGAAGAAGACTCATTCACAACCTGTGATATGCAGATAACACAACCATGCTTGCTGACAGCGATAAGGATTTAAAGTATTTATTGATGAAGATCAAAGACTACAGCCTTCAGTATGGATTATATCTCAACATAAAGAAAACAAAACTCTTCACAATTGTATCGATAAGCAACAGCATGATAAATGGAGAAAATATTACTTGGATATACAATCAATACCCATAGAAGTAGCAGTCAAGAAATCAAATGATGTATTGCATTGGGAAAATCTGCTTCAAAAGACCTCTTTAAAGTGTTGAAAAGCAAAGATGTTACTTTGAGGACTAAGGTGCCCCGACCCAAGTTTTGGTATTTTCAGTTGCTTCCTATGCCTACGAAAGCTAAATAACGAAGGCTGAGGAAGAATTGATGCATTTGAATTACAGTGTTGGCAAAGAATATTGACTATACTATGGACTGTCAGAAGAACAAACAAATCTATCTTGGCAGAAGTACAGCCACAATATGCTTTAGAAGTGAGGATGGCAAGACTTCATCTAAGTATTTTGGACATGTAATCAGGAAGGATTAGTCCTTGGAGCAGGATATCATGCTTGGTAAAGTCAGCAGAAAAGAGGAAGATGGATTGGCACAGTGGCTGCAACAATAGGCTCAACAGAGCAACGACTGTGAGATGGTGCATACTGGTCATTGCTTTATTCTGTTGTACATGAAGTCGATATGAATTAGAACTGACTTGACAGCAAACAGCAACGACACAGTACCACCTCAAAAGAATCAATCTTCTCAACACTAAACAGAAAATAACAGTGGAAGAGCTATGAAGTTATAATTTAAAAATGTTTAACACTTTTCATTGCTTAGTCTTAGCTTCTCTCAGATTCATACCTCAAGATTGAATCTGTTCTTACTTCTTCCAATAGCATAAGATTATATATTCACAATATTTGAATTACAATATAGATTATCTACTAATGTCACGGAAAAACATGTCCAGCTACTACTGGTACTGTTTGAGTAAGATCAGAAATTGAGTAAGATCAGAAATTATCATTCTTCTTTTATCTCAAGAAAATGCCTTATTTCTCTCTCTCCAGCTTGTCTGAATGGGATGTCATTGAATGGAGTGATGATCAAGCTGTATTCACCTTTCTTTATGACACAATAGAGCTCACCATAACCTTTGGAGAAGCAGAGGGTAAGTAACAAAAGATAATTCCTCTGCAGAAAAATATGGCTAAACTCAGTAAAGATTCAAATCTTTATTTTAATACAATAATTACTAACATAATGAAAGCACTGCTGAAAATATTTGAAGTTTTTTTTTTTAAATGCAACTAGTGAAAGTTGCCCATTGTTGAATTACATAAGATGATAAAAATTTTGCCTATTGAAGTAATGGATAAATATACTATTTATGTCTATTTCCCCTGAATTCCTTTCTTTCCTTTTTTTTTTTTTTTTTGGTAATGGAGGGTTTACTCTAATGGCTGGTAACTCTTCACTGTTTACTCATACTTAAGAGTGAGATGCTAAAAAGTTAATTGGAAGTTCTGTGTATAAGGTGGGTTTATCAAAATAATTGTCAGGCATCAATGCATAGTAATTAGAGTCCCAGCTATTTCATTGGTGTCGTATAACTGTCAGTATCTCTATGTATTTTTTTTCTTGGACTACAGTTGACCCTTGAACATTGTGGGGTTTAGGGGTGCTGGCCCCTACACAGTGGAAAATCTGTATATAACTTTTGAATCCCCAAAAACTTAACTACTAATAGCTTACTATTGACCAGAAGCTTTACGAGTAACGTAAACAGTTGATTAACACCTTTATTGCCATACAGTTGCAATATTTTCACACAAAGATAACTCACACACATAAACAACAGGTAAATTTATTAACTATACACCATGGTGACTATTTACTATTCATTAAATGGAAGTTGATCATCATGAAGGTTCATCCTTGTCATCTTCACATTGAATAGGCTGAGGAGGAGGAAGAAGAAGGGCTGGTTGAGCTGTCTCAAGGATGGTAGAGGAGGAAGAAGTGGAGAAGGTAGAAGGGGAAGCAGTAGAGGCGGGCACCCATGTAACTTTACAAAAATACATCGTAATTTCAGTCAGCCAGTTTTGCTTTTTCTTTTCTCTAAATATGTTTCTGGGAACTCTGGTAGTCTAGTGCCTAAGGCATTTGACGCTAACCAGAAGCCTGGCAGTTCACACCCACTCCTCAGAAGCAAGGTTGAGCGATCTACTTCCGTAGTGATACCACTTCAGAAACCCAAGGAGGGGTCACTGTGAGTCAGATCTGACTCAGTGACAATGAGTTTGGTTTTTTGGTTTAAATGTGTTTCTATACCATACCAATCCTTCTATTACTGTTTGCTTTAGTTTTCAGTGCCTCTGTCTCATAGAAGGGTCCATGTTGTAGAAGTCAAAAGCAGTCTTCAATAGCTGGAACCCTTCTGCCAGATTATCTAATAATATCAGTTTGTTTTCTGGCACTGCTTCTTCTATGTCTTCTTCCTTATCATCTGGCACTGGTTCAGAAGCACTCATTTCCATTAAGTCATCTTCTGTTAATTCCTCTAGTATGTTTCTGTTAGCTCTTGAATTCCTCCAAGATCTATATCTTGAAACCCTTCATCCCCCACCTTTTTTGGCATATCCACAGTCTCTTTCATGATTTCCTTAGTTGGCTATGTCATAAGTCCTGTGAAATCATGCACAACAACTGGACATAATTTTCTCTAGCAGGATTTTAATGCTTCAAGCTTGATAACTTTCACAGATTTCTCTATAACAAAGATGGCATCTTCAGTGGTGTAATCCTTCCAGGTTTTCATGATGTTCTCTCTTTTGAAGTTCTCTTCCATATCATTGACAATCCTTTCCATAGAATACCATGTGTGATGAGCCTTAAAAGTCCTTATGACCCCTTGATCTAGAGGCTGAATTACAGATGTTGTGTTTGGGAGCAAGTAGACCACATCAACACCTTCAATGTTGAACTCATGGGGTTCTGAGTGGCCAGAGGCATTGCATTGTCGAATATCAAAAGAACTTTAAAAGCCAGTCTCTTACTGGCAAAGTACTTCCTGACTTCAGGGACAAAGCATTGATGGAACCCATCAGAAAAAGGGTTCTCATTGTCCAGACCTTTTTGTACAACCAAAAGACTGGCAGCTGGTATTTATCTTTTCCCTTCAAGGCTCAGTGGTTAGTAGCTTTATAGATAAGGTAGTCCTGATCATAAACCTGACTACATTTGCATAAAACAGTAGAGTTAACCTTTCCCTTCCTGCCTTAAGTCCTGGTGCTCACTTCTCTTCCTTACAAATATATGTCCATTGTGGCATTTTTTTTTCCACCAGAATAGGGTACTTTCTTCTACATTAAAACTATGTTCAGATAAATATCCTTTCTTCTCAGCGCTATCTCTTGGTCAGCAGAAGCTGCTTGTCCTATTGATATTTTTTAAGCCAAACCTCTTTCTAAAGTTATCAAACAATCCTTTGCTGACATTAAATTCTCCAGCTTGAGATCTTTCACCTTTCTTTTGCCTTAAGTTGTTATGTAATGACTTCACTTTTGCTTGACTCATATTAGACCCTATAGGTATGCCTTACTTAATTGGATTTTTTTACCCACATATATGCTGTAGTTTCAATACAAAATGAAAACAAATATTTCCCAAAAGTGCAAGGTTTTTGCACTGCTGGAGTAGCTACACCAACAGCTTCATGATTTTCCTGTTCTTTTTTCGCAGTGGTCCTTATCCTGAATTCATTTCTCGTGAAAAGATGGGCAACAGTAGCTACAGACCTCAGTCTACAGTACATATCAAGCAATTCAACTTTTTCTTATAATATCATGATTTTGTGTTTGGGAGCACTTCCAGCATCACCAGTGGGACCTTGTGTGGTTCCCATGGTTCTATTTTAGGTTTACAGTATTACAATAAACACAATGAAAAATATGTGAGAACTGTGAGAGATCACTTATTACTGCAATACACAATTTACTGGAGAGACAAACTGCTCATGCGGAGATGAGTGTCACAGGGCATTTTAAGCGGATACTCAACTATACTTGAGTTCAACACAATAGCAACAGGAGGTGGCTATGAAATTACTACAGTAGTACAGTATATACTAAATTTTAATATTGCATCTTTATGTTTGTTTACATTTCTCTTGACTAAACGGTGCCATGTACAGTTTGAAGCCCTATACCCACCCCCTCTACCATTTACCTTTGTTACATGTGTTCATTGCTTCTGGTAGTTTCTTTACAGCCACTTATCACAGTCTGTAGTGTTCAGTGTGTTTATTAGTGTAGTTAATCTGGTGTCTCCCTAAGCTATAAGCTTCTTGAGGTCATAGGTTGATGTCTTGTTTTTCTCGTTACGGTATCTGCTGAAAGGTTGTGGGGGAAGGCTGATTCCCATGAGGCTGAGGTCAGACATGCCTCCATCCTCCAACTTTTTACCAATTTTGACACCAACCATCCCTTCCACGGCATTCTCTACTCCTCTGCTGGGTTCAGCAATTCGTTGCAGTGGCCACGCAGAACTCACAGACAACCTCATGATTATGGGGTTTATTAGGGAAGTAACAAGTTATAATTCAGGATCAGAAACAACTCAGGATACAGTTCTTAATCAGGACAGCCTCAGCTTCTGCCCTGCTGTGGCCAGTGTTACAGTGCTCTTTTAGCTTTGCCAATAGGTGCCTATAGGAGGCATCCCACTCCACCAGCAAGCATCCTGCCTGAAGGCACTCAGCTTTCTAATTCTGTGGGCAGGGAAGCCACCTACTCCATCTCATGCCAGTCTCTTGGTTTTCTGCCTCTCCTGCTGTCATCTCTGTCATCTCAGCACAGGAGCACTATGGGCTTTTCTTCTGTCTATATGGTAATAAAGGAGCTCTGGTAGCATAGTGGCTAAGACACTTGCCTGCTAACCAGACGGCTGGTGGTTCAAACCCACCAGCTACTCCTTGGAAGGAAGGTTGGGAATCCCACTTCCATAGTGATACTGCCTCGGAAACCCAAGGCGGGGTCACTATGAGTCGGGTTTGACTCGATGGCACATAACAACAACAACAACAACAACATATGGTAATAAGATCCCCCTTTCACCTCCAGGATGGACAATGAAATGCCAAAGCTGATCAATCCCTGAATTAGGGTTCTGTATACCTTATTTCTGTGGTCCCATCCCCACAAAAGTGCCTTGTACCTTATTTACATTGTTAGCAAATGGTTTAGTTCTCTTGGAGGGCCATAAGTACCTCATATTTGCGTAGTCCCACACAGTCATCTGGTGGGGGTCACAAAGACCATGGCTAGAAGAGCAATATTAAATAATTCACTGCACCACAGTATCCCATTTAGTATTCAACAAAGAGAAAAGAATCAGAATTCAAGAGACAGGAGATAACTCTATAGTCTTGAAGAGCAAGCAGCTATCCTGGCTACCTAAAACTCATTACTATAATGCTAAAGGTATAAGTCATCTTTACTGTATTTGTACAAGGGGTGGAGAGCTCATAACTACCTGTATTTTCCTTATATGTGTCAGGGAGCTGAGCTGGGGAAAGCTGAGTTGTCAGATGACAGAATACTCAATTAAGACAGGAATCCAAAATGAATGTAACAGTCAAGATTTTAATCTCTTACTGTGATAGCATAAGCAAAAGAAACCCTGAGAAAGCACCAATTCCCTCTTCTTCCCTATTTCCCCAGGCATAGTATTCAGTGAGGGTCAGAGGTGGATCAGTGCAGAGACTGTGGAGACTATCTCACTGTCAAGTAAGCCTCAAGCAAAAAGGCTTCTGCAGTTTTATAGACCCATTGGGCCGGGAAGAGGTACTTAAGCTAAGAAGGCAGATATTCAAAACAGCATGGCTGGTGGGAGGTGGGGAGAGACTTCATCACTGATTAATGCTCCCTTCACAGAGAGCAATGCATGGCTATACACCAAGTCTGGTTGGGGAAGGCAGCTTTCCTCCTGAGGCCTGCCAGCAGGAAATCTATAATTGTCTATGGTTAAGCCTGAAAACTCACACATAGCCAGGAGCCATACTCTTTATTATGGTTCCTGAAAATTAATTTATCTTTGCACAGAAGTTAGGGGTCAGAGGAGGAAGCTTTACAAATATAGCTGTATACTATACCTTAAATATCCTTCAAAGGCCTGCCAATCTGTGAGTCCAGCTGTTTCAGGGTAGCTTTTACCGTGTACTTTCACTGCCATCAAGTCAGTTCCGACTCACATCAACACTCCTTGGGTTTCTGAGGCAATATCTCTACGGAAATAGATTGCCCACTCTTTCCTCGAGGAGTGGCTGGTGGGTTTGAGCCACCAGCCTTCTGGTTAGCAGTCAAATGCTTTAGGAACTATGCCACCAGAGCTCCTAATCATACCGTATACAGAGAATAATCTATTCAAAAGATTCAAGGATAAACCTTGAAAAACCCACACAAAAAAACCCCTTCTACCCAGAAGGAGGGAGCTCTGGTAGCATAGTGCCTAAGGCACTTGACTGCTGACCAGAAGGCTGGTGGTTCAAATCCACCAGCCACTCCTCGGAAGCAAGATGGGGCAATCTACTTCTGTAGTGATACTGCCTCGGAAACCCAAGGAGGGGTCGCTATGAGTCGGGTCCGGCTTGACGGCACATAATAACAACAACACCCAGAAGGAGTAGGACTCTAAGGTACCGAGTTTTATGTGGCTTAAAATCAAATAATACAAATAAATATTTATCCTTGTTCTGGTTCTTCCTAGTTGGTCTTCCTTTCTTGAACAAGGATTATAGGAAGATTGCTGACCTGAATTTTCAATCTGTTTTAGATGGTAAGTTAAAAACATTTAAGCCTCTAAAATTTGTTGTCAATTACAAGTGTAAATTCTCCTTAAGAATTCTTCACATGCTAAGTTAAATGGAAACAATAATAATAATAATCTGTCTTTGTTGTTGTTATGTGCCGTTGAGTCAAACCCAACTCATAGTGACCCCTCCTTGGGTTTCCAAGGCAGTATCACTACAGAAGTAGGATTGCCCAATTTGTCTTTAGAAATATATATTAGACATAAAACTGCTTAGCTAATAATGCAAACATGTAGAGTTTAAAAATGATAGGTTTTAAAAGAAAATAATTTTTTTAATTATTACTAGGTGTTCAGCAATGATTATAATAGTTATTTCCATAATTTTAAAATTACCATTATGAATATTTACTCTGTATCAGTCATGGATATATTTATATCAATACTGTGAGGTAGGTATTATTCCCCATTTTACAAATTAGGAAACTATAGCTCAGAAAATGAAATGTTATGCTTATGATCACTCAGCTAGTAAGAAAAGCCAGATGTTAAATGCAAGTTTGTGCTACATTTAAAGCCCATGCTGTTAAACCAAATTTTATTCTGTATATGATAAAGCCTTGAGCTTTTGCAGGCATGTCTTATGCTCACTATATGTGTTGGAAGTAAAAAACACCATATATATGTGTTTGAATATAAAAGAAGAGAATATAGTCAGCCCTGCCCATATCCATGGGTTTTGCATCTAAGGATTCAAACAACCATGAATCAAAAATATTCAGGAAAAACTAGATAGAGAGGGAGAACAATATGGAACAAAAAGCAAAATCATTTGGAGGGAAAAAAGGGGGGGGGGCCACCAGGTTTGCTGGTCTGATCGAGCCTGGTGGAACCACTGAAACTATGACCCCTAGCTGCCCTTCAGATCTGGAATTGAACCCACACCTGTGGCTTCCAGCCAAGCAAAAGACAGGTATATGAGCTGAACATTCACCTGAGGTAGTTACAGTCCTTGGAGAGGACAATCATGGGAGAAAGAAGGGCTGCTTATGCACAGGGAGACAGCTCAGGGAGCAGGAGTGCATGGAGGGATGGACACAGGGAAGAGGTAAGTGGGAAGGGAGCTGTTGCCTTGTGGTAAATTGTGGTCAATGTCATGACAGAAAGTATATGTGAACTACTGTATGGAAAGTGAATTTTCTCTGTAAATTTTCACCCAAATCACACACAAAAAAAAAATTCAGGAAAAGAAAAAGCACTTAAGTGGTCGAAGCAATCTCTCAAAGGCTAAGAGGGAGCAAAAAGTGCTATTTATATAGCATTACATTGTATTACGTATTAATAAGTAATCTAGAGATTATTTTAACGTACACAGGAGGTTGTGGATAGATTATATGCAAGTGCTATGCTATTTTATATAAGAGACTTGAGCATCTGTAGATTTTGGTATCTGCAGGGGTCCTGGAATCAATTCCCTATTGATACCAAAGGACAACTCTATTTATATTACTGGTAATTTGAGAATATTTCTAGCTTACATAGTAGTATTTCTAGGTTATATAAAACATGAATAATAAATAATACTCTCCTTTTAATTTTTCCTTCTCCAGAGGATAAAGCTCCTCCTTCCTCCCTTTTAGTTCATAAGCTTATTTTCCAGTACATTAAGGAACAGGATTCTTGGAAGAAGAAATGTACAACACAGCATCAGGTGCCTAAGGTAAAGTCTGATTGAAGTATTTAAAGGAAAAATTATATTCTCTATCCCAAAGCGGCAGTCAGGACATTAGACGACGTGTAGCATTGGGAAAGTCAACTGCGAAGGAACTGTTTCAAGTGCTGAGGAGCAAGGATATCTCATTGAGGACTAAGGTGCGCCTGACACAAGCCATGATATTTCCAATCGCCTGGTATGCATGTGAGAGCTGGACAAGAATAAGGAAGACCGAAGAAGAGTTGATGCTTTTGAGTTGTGGTGCTGGCGGAGAATGCTGAAAGTACCATGGACTGCTAAAAGAACTAACAGATCTGTCCTGGAGGAAGTGCAGGCAGAATGCTCCTTGGAAGCAAGAATGGCCAGACTTCGTCTCACCTATTTTGGTCATGTTGTAAGAAGGGACCACTCCCTGGAGAAGGATGTCATGCTTGGTAGGGTGGAGGGTCGACGAAAGAGGTTGAGGCCTTCAGCGAGATGGATTGATGCGGTGGCTGCGATGATGGGCTCAAGTATAGCAGGGATTGTGGGGCTGGCGCGGGATCGGGCAGTGTTTCGTTCTGCTGTGCATGGGGTCGCTATGAGTCGGAAATGACTCAACGGCACTTAACAACAACACAACATCCCAAAAAGCAGAACTGAAATTTTATATATGCAACAGTGGATCCTGAAATGATAAATATATCAAATTATTTAAATTTCTTTAGGTTCTTTATAAAAGAATCACAAAACACTGAAGTGTTTTCATGATTTCATCTCTCTTTTTTTCCCCAGATGCTTCAAGAAATCTCATTGGTAGTGAGCCATTGCAGACTCCTTGGAGAGGAAATTGAATTCTTGAAGAGATGGGGACCAAATTATAACCTCATGAATATAGATGTAAATAATACTGAGTACGTAGTCAAAAACTTATTAAAATATTTATTTTACTCATGTGTTTCATGCCACTGTAAAAGGGAGAAGTGTATTTGTGTTTCAGTCTGTTTTTGTTTTGTATTTTTAATTGTTGATCTTGTCTTTTATAGATTGAGGCTTTTATTCTCCAGCTCTGCAGCATTTGCTAAGTTTGAGATAATGTTGTCTCTCTCAGCTCAGTATCCATCTGTCCCATTACCTTTCTCCATTCAAAATCACCTTGGAAACATTGGGTAAGTAAAGAGCCATCATGATAATGGCTCCCAACTACCTTTTCTCCTTTTTATTTCATTTGGAAGACTCCTTAAAGTGGTTAGCAAGTAGATGGACCATAGTAAGAGCTAAGTGTTTATATGTCACTTCTGATTTATTTTGAGTAATTTGTTCCTTTAAAGCCATTGACCTCCATTGCTATCTCCAGTGGATGCTCCATTTTTGAAATACTCTTACCTAAAACAGACCTAAGAAAGAAAAAGTCCTATATAAGTTTATCATAGATAATAACTAAACATTTATGGCCCTAAAAACAGAATAATAACTTAAAAAGCTGTGCAGTTATAATACTTTTCTCAATCTGTGGAACCAGACCCAAAAGTGTCTCATATCTACTAGGCTATGATGTATTTTATGTCTTTTTTAGTCGCACAGCTGACCGCTTAGAAGATAGCAGAGCCTAGAATGTGCCTACCTCAAATCCACCAGGAAACACCAACAGTTTAGATTTTTGGAGCCAGAGAAAGCAGCTAGGTTAAGATCTTTACAATTACATACAAAGCTAGTTCCTAAGCCTTGTTTTTGGAATCCCATTTTAAACTGGACAATATGTTTATTTCCAGAAATGCCCATTTGTTTGTATTTCCTAGGAAACTGAAAGACTATACCCAAGAACATGAATTGCATCAAATTAGAGACAACTTTAAGTTACCAAAAAAATTAATTTACCTTTTATTCTTACCAGCCAAGATGAAATTGCTGCCATTTTATTTAATGTGCCACTAGAAGACAACTACCTGAAGAATGTAGTCAAGCATATTTCCCAAGATCTGCTTCAAGATTGCCGTTTCCACCAGTAGACCCGTGGACTACAGCTGTAACAACCAAGCAGGATGCAGTTAATAATGATGTCAGGGTCTCTATTGCCATTGAAACTTTGGCCTTTAGTTCTTGGAAAGAAGTCTGGTAAAATTCATTCTAGTGATGATGTTGTTAATTTGTACAGTGAGTTTCCAAATCTCTACAGTCAGGAATGAGAGGCCTCAAATAGCCTGCTATCAGTCAACTTGCTTATTTTTCTACCACAGTTTTTAATAGTAGGATACAGAGAGAAAATTTCTTCTAACTAAAGTGGTGCTCTCTGCTAAAGAACAACTAAGAGCAACTTTTACATATAAGATGGGTTGTAACCACTGGCCAAAAATTAGCTATTTTCCCATATAAAGAACTATGTCTTTTTGGTAGCATGCCTTCTGCTTGACATATATTTCTGGATTACAGACATATCTATGTACAAACTATTCATCCTTTTCCTCCATTCCAGAAATGCTATTAAGAGAAAGCAATGGCACTCAAGTATTAGACTGATTGCCATCTTTTCTTAAAGGCCTTGCCATATTTTATTATATAGTGTATATTAGTGTTTTTGTAATTATTAAGTATATTTTTTCTATGGAAAGTTCATTCGTTTTGGCCTAGTATATATATATATATATATGTAAATAAATTAATGTTGTTTTCAGTGTTTGTGATATAGTAATTACACTTCAAACCACACCACATTCAAAACCCCAATTTTGTCAAGTTCTGGTAGTATAATATTAATATTAATATTAGTATCAATTCCTGAAACCACACCCTCTTCATACACAAAAATGAACATAACCATTGATTATTGAATGACCCATATTATCTGTGAAGTATACAAATCTAAAAACACTTTCACCCAACCTTTAGTCAAATCCTAATCATGAAATTTTTTTGTTTCTTTTCTATTTAATTCTAAAGTAAAATATATATATTTTTTAAACTAATTTGTCTTAAGAATTTGTTTTATACTTTAGAAATAGGTTAATTTCCTATGGGTTACATGGATGTTATCATCCCTCTTGACAGATTTCACTTCTGATATAAAAGTCAAAGAATCACATGATCTTTTAGGTTTCATGTTCCCTCTTTCCATAAACTCCTTGGAGAACCTTTTTTTTTAAAAAAACAATTGGTCATTTTTTGTTTGGTTGGTTTGTTTTTTAAACTTAATATAATTAATTATTTTTGCAGTGTTCCCTTCCTTCCTCTCCCCTCCCACCCCTTGGAGAACTTTTCTTTTTTTTTTATTAGGATTTGGGTGAAGATTTACAGAGTAAATTCACTTTTCATACAGCAGTTCACATATACTTTGTCTCATGTCATTG